AGCGAGGAGGCACTGTTATTAGCAAAAAGAAAGGGGGAAAAAAAAAAAAAGAGAATTTCAGAACCTTGGCAATAAAAGTGAGTTGAAGGGTTGTTTCTGGTCATAGATGTTTCTTTTCCATTTTATGTTGCTTGAGCATAATAAATGTCAGATGGCTCGAGTAGCATGTTTTATTAAAATAAGTGAATTTGGAGTTCATGAAAGAGCGTTGCAGTGATAGCGTTGCGCACAGGATGGCTTGCTTTGTGCGGGGAGCAGGTAGGGGGGTCCAGTCCGCCTCTCACCTGAGTTTGCAGGGACAGTTTTTAGAAGGGAGAAATAGCCTGAAATGCTATTTCCACATAGTTGCTCTGGTTTTGGTGTCTCTTCCGAGATCGCAAACAAAAGTGCCATCTAATGACAACTGTAAAAAGCCTGTTGGAATGCAAAATTGAAGAATATTATGTGGTTTGGTTGCTTTTGTGTTGGTTGGTAATTTGGATGCTTTTGTTAAGTGGATTGAGACTCTAACTAATTTTTCATAAATTGTGGAAGGGCCACCAGAAGATGATGGTTTTCTGGTGTCGCTTCTCTGCTGTTCTGGTCGTGTGGTGCAGGTCAGCAAAACGGTCCCCATGAGAAATCCAGCTCCCAAGTGTCTTGTTTTGAAGTTCATCAAAGTAATTTACAAAATATTCAGTGTGTCCTCCCAGTGTAATTGTTTCTTAGAATGCATTTATATTAGTGCGTGCGTTCATATTCGTGACGCCCTGATCTATTACAAATTCCTCACTTGGGTTTTGGTTTTTTAAATGTCTCTGAGAAACATTGCTCTATATTCTGAATTTTCACAGGTAACCGTAGTTCTGAGAAGGATCTTATTAAGCACAAAAGCAAAGTGTTGACACAGCTTCCCAAAGGATGGCTTTGGTGGCAAGTGCTTCCATTTTGCATCAGTCAGACTATTGTGTCGTGAGTTTGAACTTGGACCAAAAATTTCTGCCTGACTCAGAGTGCAGAGAGCTCGCTGGGTGCAGCAGGCTGCACCAGAGAAAGCCTAGGGAAAAGGAAAAGAAGTGGTTTGGTAGCTTTGGAAGGATCTGGCCAGAGTTTTACGCTAATACGATAATATATTGGTGCTTGGTGATTTAAAGACGTACGAGCCTTTGGCTCTTCACGCAAGCGGAGCGATGCACAGGGCTGCAGCAGCAGCACGGTGTTGAGCAGCATGTCCAAGGAGGCTTCTCGGCTCTGCAGCCACCTCTCTTGCTGCCCCAAAATGCCAAATTATGTGGATGTCATGAAAAGGTCTCTGCCAAATGGCACGGAAGCGATAGCTTCAACTGATAGAAACAGTAATTATTGGGTTTTTTCTGTGTGATTGATGTCTGTTTATATTTAATGTAGTCACTAGATGAAAATGGATGTCTTTGGTTAATCAGATATGGGTTTAGAAATCCAAACTTAAGTCATTCATGTTGATATGGTTGAATTTCCTCTTCTCCTTGCGACCTGTTCCTTCAATCCTGTAGCTTAGATCTGAGGGTTTGCTTTACTTAACTTTTTCCAAATTGAAATAAAAACCAGCTTACTTTAACGTATATCATGGGAGCACTGTGGATTTTTCCCCCTCCGGGCTACTCAAAACAAGCCCTAGGCCCAGCAGTACTGAAAACTTCTGCGAAGCTGAAAGCGCAAGATTTAATGCCTTGTAACTTTAATCTGTCTCCATAATAAATTATTTATGCAGAATGTGTCAAAAAGGCATATGTTGCAAAGCAGTAAAACTTGCCACCGTGGTGGGTGAAGGCAGGGGAGGTCGTGCCGCTGCCCGCCGGCATCCTGGGCGGGTGGCAGAGACATCAGCTGCGATTCAGGCTCTCCTCTCTTGTCACATTCCTGTTTTTCCTACGGGAACCGTGCTGCTTCCCATCACAGCTGATGGGAGTCTTCCAGTGGAAGCCCGCTCAATCCCTTAGAAATGCCATGATGCCTACAAATACTAGGATGTGTTTAAAAACGCGTTAAGCATTAGACCAACAGCTACTAGGGTATGAACAAGAAGGTCGGAAAAAAAAGAAGCTAATAAATATTCAAGGGCCAGTTTTTACCTTGATGGGGAAAGGCACGTGAGCGGGCAGGGAGGGAGAGTCCTGCCGGGCAGCCCGGTGCGGGGAGCCCAGTCCGACCCCTGACTCCATCACCCGCTTACTCCGCTATCCTGTGGGAGTGACGGGACTTCTTCTGCCCTCTCCATCTCGTTTTTCTACTTCTGTGAAACGGCAGGTACATCTCACGTACCCAGTGGGATAACCGATGAGGGCGCCAGCCCCGTGCGAACCCCAGCCTGCGCACCTCCGAGCCGGCACCCCACGCTGCGTGCATCCATCGGCAGGAACATGAGTAGCTTGCATAGAGACTTGTAAATATGAATTGTTGCTTAAGTGCCAGAATTATAATTAAAAAGGTTTTCTCTTTTGGCTTTTGTCTACATACTTTCCTAATATTGTCATTTGGCAAAGCCGGGGTGTCTCTCACAATGTAATTGCCGCAGAACATTTCCTTGAAAGAGCAGCAACACCCCGCCTCCTCCTAACACTTGCATGTGGAAAGCACCAACTGTTTTATAGGCATTAGTGAATTATGCTTTTCAGTGCAAGGAGGTATTAACTGTCTGTACAGCTGAGACAGCTGTAAAACAGCTTCTGAGATGAAGTGACCTGCCTGAGGCTGCACTTTGGATGCCGTAGCAGAGGCACAGAGCTGTGGTTGTGCCTCTTCCAGAGAGAAAACACAGAGGCTTTGACAAGATAGTTGGTGCGTGTGTATTATTTTCCTTCTCTTCCTCCTCTGCAGGAGTCTGTATGTACGAAGGGACCCGTCTCGTCCCAGGGCAGCAATGCCGCCGGCTGCGTGTTCGTGCCAAGCCGTGTTCGTGCGGCCCCGCTGCTCCGGCTCCCGTTACCGGCTGCCTCTCTGCCTGGTTTTCGGTGGGAAGTTGGGCTTGCAGGGATGCCAGGCTTGCTCCTCTCCTCGGTACTGCTGGTGCTTCCCAAGCGTTTAGGTTTTTAAAAAGCCAAAGGGCTCTCCTGCCACCCTGTTAAAGAGCGCTGGGTAATCCCTTTATGTAGTTACTGGCAGAGCGTCACAACCTGCACGGAGAACGACTGAGAAATACAGGTGCCTCCCTGTTAGGGACTGAAGCAAAAAATACCTCGGGGTTCGTTTTTTAAAAGAGCGGTTGTGGTAGTACTAGAATTAGTAAATAAACAGAACAGATCTTTAAAATCAGTTGCAGAACATGCTTTCTATTTTTGGGCAAAACTTTGAAGATCTGGAAATTCTCCAACTGTTTCAAAACGAAACCTTAAATTAAAAGGATAGCTTTTGGGGAGGTTGTTTAATTTTTTTTTTTAATCTTTAGTACCAAGAAAATTAATCTTCTAGACAGGGCTTACATTTGAGGCAAGAATAGTGCATGGCAATTAGGACTTTTTGCCCCCTTCAGACTGGTGAAGCAAAGTTTGGGGTAATACAGGCTCAGGTCTTCAGCTGGCCTAAATTAGCACAGCTCTGTTCAGGCTCCATCTGTAGGCCTATATTACTGTTCCATTGCAGCAGATCTCATTTATGACATGTTTTTAAAGCAGATCTGTGAAATGATCCAGCTTTAAAAAAATAACACTAATAAGGGTGTAGTTACATGAGCATCTTATCCTGCAGCAAAGCCAGTTTAAGAGGCTCCCAGCCCTTCCCTGACCCTGCCTTCTCCTTACAACCCCACAGTTCATTTCCCCTCAGCTCTGCTGCTCCAAGGTTCTGGCGTTTGTGGGTTTGGGGTTTTTTTTATCCTCCCTTTCTTGCATTGTTTCAGTGATCAAGCAGAGCATGTTTCCTTAACACGTGTATGAGCAGAACGGAGCGCGCGGTGTGCTGTAGCAGAGGGGCGACGATGAGGGACAAGGGGAAGGGCTGGGAGGTACGCGGCAGCGGCGATCTTTCAAACGGACTTTGGTGCTAGAGTGGATGTTCCTGCAGCTGCCGCTAAACCAAAGTGGCTTTGCAGGGGTTTTATTCGAAGAGCCAGGCAGGCAAACAGCTGATGGCACTGCCTGGGGTGGTGGGTAGGAGCTCACATCCCCACAAGTGATCACAGAATCATAGAATAGTGTGGGTTGGAAGAGACCTTTAAAGGTCGTCTAGTCCAACCCCCCTGCAATGAGCAGGGGCATCTTCAACTAGATCCGGTTGCTCAGAGCCCTGTCCAACCTGACCTGGAATGTTTCCAGGGATGGGGCATCTACCACCTCTCTGGGCAACCTGGGATGTTGGCTCAGATTTTGGCTCCTGGAGCCAGCAAGGCACGTAGCACGGTTGCAGTCAATTTCTGGATCTCTGCTGAATTGGGGCCATAGCTATTAGATTATTAAGTAAATCACACTGATACTTCATTCCCAACAGCAGCTCCATTTCACTAGAGTAGCACTGATGTTAGCTCTGGAATAGAGAAGAATGAGCCGAGATTTCAAGGAATCTCAGAATAGTTCGCTCTACCAGGAAATTCAGTCTACTGGGATTCTGCGCGACATAGCAATGAGATCAAATGCTTTCCTAACCTATTTACTTTAAATGTATCTTGAATATTAGTAATGATGGAGTAAACAGACAGATCTTTAAAAAGCGTGGTGCCTGGTGAATGTCTGACACGATATTTAATGAGCACAGGAAGGTTTTTTATCCAACTGCCTTCAGCCTGTGGAATGTGTTTTCTCCTTGTTTTGGCTGGATGGATCTTGTGGCTGATCTATTTAAAAATAATTAAGTGAACAGTTGCAGAAACAACATGGTATCTTAGACCTGCACGCGGTACAGATTAGGTGGAAACACCGAGCTTTCCTTCGTATGTGGTGTGGTTATCGGTACCCTCCAAACAGTGCATGCAGATATCATTACACATCCTTTCTAAAGGAGCTGAAAAACATGATGACACGTAACGAAACCTCCCCGGGGCTGCAGTGTGGTATTCAGTGGGGAAGCAGCAGGGACTCGGAGGTTCGCTGGGGCTGCTCGGGTGGTACGGGGAGCTCCTGTCCCTTGGCACTTGCCGGGTGAGTCCCACGTCTGCGGCGCACGGTGCTGGCAGTAATGCCCCAGCATCAGTTTGCTTGTCTGCTGCTTTCTGAGAGCAAGATATATTACTCACTCCTCTTATTCCTTTATACATTACACAGAGTGGAAACAAAAATCAGATATAAACAGAGTCCATCAATCATTACTAAACTAGGAGATAGACCGTGATAGTAAATCTTCCTTTTCCTCCTTCTTCTTTCTGGTCTTTACACACAGCAGTACAACATGCCGTAGTAACACAAGAAGAATTAAGTTGCTCAGATGCACGCCAGCGCGTAGAAACAACTGTCTGTACAGTCACCGTGCCTCGGCCAGCGTACCTGTCTGCTGCACGCCCTGCACACGGGTGAGAGCTGACTGCCCCTCTCCTGGGATCACAGGGTGGTTGCTCGAATGGTCTGGATGCGACCAAAGGCAGCATGAGGCAAAGTGTAGCAATTCTGGTTTAGCTGAATCAGGATAAAGTGCTTCACCACACAGCCAGGTGGAGGCAATGCCCAGAATAGACCCCTAAGTACAGATTGGTACGAGTGGCTTTGCCATTTGGATTTCTTTTAGTAATAATTTTTGCAGCGGTGACGATGAGGTGATGGTGGTGAGAGGTGCTTGTTTACATTTGGTGGTTATTAGTGTCATTTCTTTTTTGATTAACCTTTTGTGTACTACAGCTGTCCACTGCAGTCCGGAGGGGTTTTATGACTGGAGAATTTATGATGAAGGCACTCTAAAACAAGGAATTTGAGCTCATGGGATTAAGCTGGGTGTGCACAGGTTATTGCAGCAGCATTCGCTGGTTTTCCTTCTTCCTGTAATTCTGTTGATACCAGTTATAGGATCAGAAAATTCGTATTAGAACATTAGCAAGTGCAAATGCGTAGCTACATTCTCATCATTTAGCCTAATTTTAATCCTTTGGATAAAGTACTTCATTTTTATCAATTCACAGGCATGGAAGTGACAAGCCCGTTTATAACTATCAGTGATACAGAGCAGCAGCTCCAAAAAAAAAAGCCATGGGATTTTGGAATCGGCACTGAGAAACTTTTCCATAAATGCCAGGAATAACATTATATTTGAATATTTAACCCTTACCCAGGCAATTTGAGGACTGGAAACCATATGTGCTTTTCATAATGGGAGCCAAGATGACCCTACATAAAGATAAATATAACTACATAAAAGCATTCAGGAAGGATGGTGTTGTGGTTAAGAGCTGGGCAAGGACTGGGGAGCTCGAAGGTCTAATCCCAGCTCAGCCACAGGCTTCTTGGGTGATCCTGGGCATGTAACTTAATCTCTGCGTGTTTCAGTTTTTCCATTTGTGAATGAGAGATAATAATACTGCCCCACAGCCATGCCTGGAGGATAAACGCAGTGCTGCTTGGGAGGTGTGGGCTTGGAGATGGTGCTGGTGACCACCAGGATAAGTCTTAGCCAAGCGCTCTGCTGAGGGTATGTGCTACACCGCTGCCGGTGGTATTCGCAGTTTGGCCTCTCCTCTGAAGGCTGGTTGAATAAACTCCTGCCTTAATTAGACGGTGTGTCAGACTAGGGGAGCACACCTGAAGCCTCGTCTGGGGAGTCACATCACTGGCAAACGTTCCTTGTTTGAACATAATTTAAATTCAAAAACAATGAGAGGAAAAAATGAGAAAAGAAAAGGGAAACCTGCAGTAGATGAGACCATCTGGTTTTGTTTGAGTGCTACCTAAGTAACTTGTGTTTATTGGTTATAGACTGGTGTTTTCTTTATACGGTCTCTGGCCAGGTAGCTGTTGTTATGCTCGTGACTTGGCATTCACTGCTGCCCTTTGTGAGTCTGCTCGGGAGGCATGGATCCCTATCCTCTTGTGATTCTTTGAAAAGATGGGCTATTTCAAAGTAACCGTCAAGACGGAGACTTTTCTTAATTGGTCACCGAGATTTTCGGCTCGTAGCCTGCAGCTGCCGTGGGGATATCATTTCGTCACTGTGGGAGCGAAGGCGATCGAGCTGAGGGCACACGGGAGAGGCAGCCCGTGCGACTGTCAGCGTGAGGAGGAATCATGTTTGCGAGAGAATGTCTCTGCTAAGGTGCCATCCCCGCTCTGGAAAGTAGGTAAAAAAGCCCGTTGAAGGCTGAGCAGCCGGGCTCGGGCTCGTGCGCAGGCTGGGCTGCGTAAGGTGCGGAGGAGTGTAATCGTCCATTGTTTGGAAGGAAGAGTTTTGATGTAATTATACCCTTCAGCCATTGCCACACTTTCCTCTCTTTCATCTTCAGGCAGGTCCACACGTTCAGATGTGAAGCTGGAAATGAAACACATCTGGATATCCAAAAATGACAACAGACTTTTATTTGCTATTTTTGGTATACAACAAAAGCTTTGTATCTTGCTAATTGAACATATGGGCTCTCAGTTGCTTTTTTCCCCCTGCTAAACTCCACTTTTCCATGTGTCATCATACGATTCCAACATTTGATCTGTCGAGTCCATCTCGGCCATGTGTTTGTTGTAATCTGCTACACATGTAGGCTTGTTTTCGTGTGCGTCCTGACCTCCAGTGAGAGCTGCAGTTGTTTCCATCATGGATAGTGTTGAGGAGTTACACATCCTTTTTATCAGTGTATTTGGCCACCGGCAGCTCCTCGCAGTGTGGATCAGGGATCCTGCCAAGCCTCTGAAAGCTCAGTGTTTAGGGTAGCCATATCTGTTTGTATTGTGATACCAGATGCTGGTTTTTTTCAATGTAACAGAATAAGAAGGGAGAACTTCCCCAAAATAGAAAATATCCACATAAGTAAAATCCAGCGTCTCACCGAGGGAAGCTGAGGGTCAGCGTTAGCTAGAGTTGGAGCGTGAGGAAGGGATGGAGGTGGCTGGCTGGTTGACGGTCATCAGTCAGGGGTCGGCATTGCAGTGGCCAGCATGGAAAAGCAGCGTTTGCTTGTGCAGAAGGCAGCGTGCTTGTCGGAGTCCGCGGCAGAAGGGTCTGCGGGATAAAAAGAGAAAAATGCTCTCTCTGGAGTGAAGGACTGAGCCCTTCAGAGCAGGCTGTGCCATAAATACCCACTGGGAACTTGGCCCCACTGCACGGACGTTCGTGAGACTCGACTCATTACAAATACAGGACCTCTTGATTAGCATGAAAGATTCGTCATCAGAATTTTTCTGTGCCTGTGGGGGATCCACTTACTTATTTCCAACTACAGCTCTAAATTGTTCCCATGCTTCATCGTGGTTTGATTAGCTAAAATCTTCGAGTAACTGTTTGAGGCACTTACCATAACTAAAAAACAGGTGACAATGATCAAACCATAGGGTACGGAGGGTATGGAGCCTGAATGTGGTTGGAGGCAACCCCGTTACAGGTTCCTGAGCACTGTAAAGACGTATCACCTGCACGCTTTTAAAGTGCTGAGCACTGCTGCATATTGTTCCCCAGGATAAATGACAAATTAATGCAACCAAAAAAAGGGGTAACTGCCTTTAATTAATTGCCCGCGCACATGCACGCGTAGCCCCAGCCTGTGCATCCATGTCACGTTACAGCTGTGCTAATAGTCACCTTTCTTGCAGTAAATATTGGGCCAATTTCATCACATTTGGTTTATGTTTATCAACACGGCACTTAAGCAATGGGGTTTTGGTTGCAATAAGGGAAAGAGTCCATTTCTGTCTAGCCCTGAGGTGAGGGAATGAGAAGCCATATGTGGCGTGGCCCGGCTGGAGGCTCTCGTCTCTCCGTGTTGCAACACACCCGCCTGACTGCAGCAAAAATCAAATATTTGCACTTGAAGACAGAGCTGAGGCAATTTCCACCAGGAATATGCCGTCTCTCACCAGTTGAAAAATATTATACGTGCGTCGTGCATTATTCTGTTCAGTTCTTGACATACGCTGCTGAGCAATTTTGTCTTGAACTCCCTTTTTCTCTTTAGCCAAGAGTGTAACATGAAACAAATCTAAGATTGCACTCGAGGACTTCCCAATCAACTGAAGAATGAACTCTGAAGCAGAAGTTGTATTTAACAAAACGGACTTACAATTATTATTCATAAATGCACATGTTATGGCTGCAGTTGTTTCACTTCTTTCTTTTACAACCCTATAAATTGTATACAGAACATAAAGGCTTTACTTCTTAAATAAATGTTTTGCAGCCGCCATAAATTATCTTTCTTGCATTCATAATGAAAAAAAAATCACTGTTTGATGTTTTATATCCTCTTCCCTAAAATGTAAAATATGGTAGTTGGAGCCAGATTTTATCTCATTTGAAAATAAAAGAAGGTTCATTTCCTACTAATTTTTTTCAGTCTTAGGTTTGGAGTTCCCGTGAAATGTTGCCCAATCTGCAAAGCAGCGTTACAATAAACTCTGCTTTATCTGAGGGTTTGTGTTTGAGTTGTACCAGTGTTAATCGTCATCATCGCGAAATGAGTTAGGAACATAACCTGAACCTCTTTTATTTTTTTTTTAATCCCTAATGTTGGTTATATTTCATCTTTCTGCGCACCCTGAATCGCTGGCTGAGTATCGGCTTGTTGAACTTTTCTCTACGCCAACCCTACGAGGACCCTGCCCCAGCATTGCTGTCCTGGAAGCAGGCCTTGCTAAACTCCCAGCTCACTGGTTTGCAAAGCAAACTTCAGCCTTGTACTATTTACCTTGGCAAGTGCCCGACCAGATTGATGATCTGTAAAGTGGATTTGTTATTTGGCTGTTTGCTTTGGCAGCTCTTGAAAGCAGTTTGCTGATTACAGTCCCAGATGTCATTGCATACATTACTGTTCACTATAAGTTTCTTTTAAAGTTTTAATTTCAGCCACAAATACTATTAAGCTTTTTGCACCTTTCTGTCTTTAACTCATGGATATTAAATATCAAGAGCGGGCAGCCTTGATTTCCGTGAATTTTCCTCTGATTGTCTTTGTTGGCCTCCTCCAGGCATGTCTGTAGTGCCGGCAGCCAGGAGGAGAGATGCTGCTGGCTTTCCCCCCAGTTCGGTGCTGTGCCCGTCCGTGCCACGGGCAGTTGCAAGTTGGTCGCGTGCACGGTTTTCTAATCGTAGATAACCTGGAAAATTGACATAGCATTTTTATAAAACATTAGGTTCAACACAACCAAATACTTGAGTCGGGAGAGTTGGGAACATGGGGAGTAATGTCAACTAAAATCACTGCGTCCCGTTTGTATTAGGGTAGGCACAAAAGGAACGTGCGTCTTCAGAGGTGGTTTTTCTGGGTTATATCCATCTCCTCTAACTATTATCTTGGTTTTTAAAGGCTCTCAAACCTGATAAGGAATTTAGCAAATCGATAAGCTCAAAATCAATTTGTTTCTGACATCAGGTAATCCTGAGTTTGGCTCCGGTGCCAGCAGCGCCTCTGCGCTCTGCTCCTGAGTGCTCTGCTCCCAGCCCTGTGCACACTGCCGTTAGGGTTCGGGTCGAGGAATAACGAGATATTTTATTTCTGTGGTGCCTCAAAGTACATTTGCCCTTCTGAAGTCCAAGAAGAGGCACATCAAAAGCTCAGCTGGGTGTTTGCTGCTCACCTCCTGCAAGCGCTGCAGAGCTGCCTCGGGGAGCAGAGCGGCTGCCTGGCACAGTCCGACGAGGACAAACGATTGCTGGTCCTGGGTTGGAGCAGTTAAACCATCCTTCGTGGACTAGAGCTTTTTTTTTTTTTTCTGTGGGGGGTACTTTCAGCTTTGAAATACTTAAGTTGAAGAAGTTAATTCACTTTAAGTAAGTTTACTTTTCGAAGGGAGGATATCATTGTAGTATTTTTGGCCACTGCTTGAAAATTCCTCTAACCCTTTACTATAATAAGCAAATTGAGCAGATTAAAGACACATTACGCTGCCAAATGGTTTTTCTACCCAGGGTGACATATATTTTTTCTGTGGAAAAGGTTGTGGGGGTTTTTGTGAGCTGCTATGCTTTTTTTAGCACTTCCTGTTTTATTGTGTTTGAAGTGTCTTTGTGGTGACCTGTTGGGGTAAGATTCTTCCATATGGAAGTGTTTCTTCAACTTTTAATCATTTTGTTTTAAAAAAAAAAAAAAATTAAATCCGATTTGCAGATGTCTCTGGTTTTGTTTGCAGAGAGCTAATCCAACTCACTACAGTGTTGTAGAAATGTGAGTCATGATGAGTTGTTTATACACAATGTGAAGATGACATCCCTGTATTTGCACTCTTAATTAAGTTAGATACCTTCTTTGAAATGTGTTTAAAGTATCTGAAGAAAAGCCTTTGTTTGTGTTTTAATGTATTTTTCTCTTCAGAAAATTCTATTCCTTTAAATATTTGGGGTGAAACACTGCCTTCACCGAATGCATTGGCAAAACTCCTGTTGGTTTTGGTGGAACTGGGATGTCACCAGTAGACCCCGACTGTTGTAGGCGTCTCTGAAGTCAAGTAATATCAGGATAACAATTTTGTCCTTTGCCTATTCCTGGGGAAAATCTTGCTGGGATTTTACATAGGGTCAGAAAAAGTTACAAGTTTATTTTTAAGTCTACGAGACAAAATTCTTCATTAATGTACAACAGAATGCATTTTCCCTGCGCTCATATTGGACTTGCTGGGTCGTAACTGAGACCAGAATTTGGACCACTGTATTTGCATTATAGCTGCATCCTGTTTCCTATTAGTTTTGACACTAACATCTGAATTTCAGATTTCTTCTTGTTTAGGTTTAACTGCTCAATCAGTACATGCAACAGACATCTCGGGACCTCTCTGTAGTTGTCTGGCTTGCGCAGGGTGCAAGGGCAAGACTTGGCATCTGCGCGAACAGCGCTGGAGCAGCCCCTGCGTTTGAGTTGATAGAGCACAGTGTGTCATTACGCAAACAGCTGGGATTGTCGATCAGGCATCTCCAGACTTTCCCTCTGCATCATATCCTCAACGTTTTAACCGTAAGAAAACTGGCTTTGACAGTATTTTTGAGCCCACATGTGAATACCACATGTTGAGGTCTCATGTCTGCAGTTTCACTCCTAATTAAGTGTAGATGTAAGTACTGGGTATCTTATAAGGTCTTTGGCTCTCTGCAATTCACCACAAGCATCTAATTTCCACTTCCTTTGTCTTGGACCTGTTATTTATACGAGAAGGGTAGGTGGACTCAGTGGTTACAAGTCTGTTGGATTATTATGTTTCTGTAACTGTCAATCCTGTCAAAGGTCCTGCAGAAATTTGCACTGTGGGCTCTTGCTAGTTTATTATGGGTAAAATCCCCTCCCGTGCCGAAGGCTAGCCCAAGGTCTGTGCACCACTTAAGTCTTACTAAGCCCTGAAAATGGCTCTTAAATGTTATATTGGCCTTGCGCCTGCTCTCAGCATGGAGGTGAATTGCGTTCTTTATGAAGAGCGAGATTTCCAGTTCAGCTTTGGCTGTTTATCTTCCCTGCTGTGAGTATTAGGATGGGTTCTCTAAACCTGCCTAAAACTTTTGGTGCTACAGCTTGCAGAAGCTAAGACCTTGCAGGCTTTCTGACCTAACAACAGGATGGATTGAAAACCGGCAGCTTTTTGATGTAGATGGGCACAGCACTCATCTGGTTTGGATTTTCGAGGTGTTCCAAAGTCATATTGTTAGCTACAAGGGGGGTCTTTTGTGAGCAGCGATATGCGGCAACTTGCTACTGAGACCTCAGAGCATTCCCAGGTATTTATTTTTGGAAGACTGAAGTCAAGTAGCTGTATTGTCTCATGCCTATTATACAGGTGTTGAAACTAAGGCGTAAGATGGACAAATGACTTTACTGGGCTGGTCAGAGTGCTATCAACGAGATTCAGACATAAACCTGGAGAATTATTTTACTACGTCTGCTCTGGTTTCCACCATATTCAGAGTGGTTTGGAAACTTATTTCAGTAAGGAAAT